AGATAGACAGTCTCTCAGTACTTTCAAAGCTCACATCCTCGTGAGAAGAACGGTGATGGCAAGCAAGAGGCAATCTTGCGGGTTGATGATGGAAAAGAAAGAGATGAGAGGGATCAAAAAGGAGCGTCCTTTGGGCACAACGAGAGCTTGCTGCTTTCTCGTTTCAGAAGGACACAGAACACTATGGGTTTTACCACAGTGCTACAGTGATAGTTTGAAAGATGCAAAGTGGCTAGCAGGGTGGGAGGAAAGAGGAGCAACACAGAGGATGTGAAAGTGGCAACCACTGATGAGACTTTTGGAGAACTTACGGAAACAAACTCGATCTGTACTTGTTAATCAATGGACAGACAGCGAGGTTGAATAATCGGTGAAATATGTCCTGAAGCAGAGCTTCGTAGTTAAATCAATGAGGACGACTGTTGACTGAGAGAGAGGGCAGAGATGATTAAGAGCAACTCTATCCACCTTGGGATGTTTGCAGCTTTCTTTCTCTCGACTTCCCGAATTCAGACAGCAAGTCCAAGTTGGTGAGAAATCAAAAGGTATGTAGAAGATGGAAACGATGAAAGTAAGAAAGTGGACGAGAGATGAAAGAGACAGAGAGATGTACGAGCAAAAGGTGGAAGAAAAAGGAGAGGGCTCTCGCCTCACTGCTGGAAGCAACAGGCTCCTGAGCAATGTGTTACCTGGGGAAGTTCCCCAAGGCAGACACTTGGATTGGGAGACACGACTCTTGAGTCCTTTGATGCTTCCAGGTGAAGTAGGTGAGAGAAGAGGTCGGATGATAGAGATAGTACGGTCCGTATGTCGAACGAAGTTGTTGATGATAAGATTCGATCTTCAAGCAGTCTGACAATCCAGAGGGCATTCAGAATGAGAACAAGAAGATGAGGAAAGAAGTAGAAAATTTGGAGGAGAGGTTGTGGGAAGAAAGTGCAGAGGCCCCAAGCGATCTCGAGACAGTGAATGTCGAGAACGCGAGAGGTGGGGAGAAGCGCGAAACCGGCGTCACTCGCTGCCAAATCAAGGAAGGCAGTGAAGGCACCCTGATACCTAAGCTTCTTGTCACAGCAGAGACAATGTGAATAGTCTCTCTCGGGGTACGTGGGGAATATGGATTATGGGACAGGAGAACGGGAAGGGGATGGAGGAAGGATTCGAAGAGAGAGAAGAGCGGCCCATCCAACGACACTGGCCCACCCACTGCCAACCACCCTTTCAGCAGCAAAAGAGCTCGACAAACAGGGCGTGCAACAATTCACTCACCTAGCTACTAGAGAGACATCCCTCGCTCATGTACAAAAATTCAATTACAATATCTGGGCTACATTGGACATTTTGCCTCAGCGAGGAGACAGTTGATCTGAACGCCTTTGTCATGACTCTTGAGGCTACGAAATACTTAAAGTAGATACTTCTCTTGCAAGGGTCACATCTGAGTGCCACTGCTGAATATATATCTTCTTAGAGTGTGAAGAAGCGAGCAGATTTGCCTGAGATGAAATGGTATGTGGATGATGGTAACTGTCAGCAGAGGTGGCAACTGCCCATGGAGCAGTTTAGAGTATAGACCATGAGGCTGTAGGTGTTAGTTCATGGTCCATCTATACGCTCAGAGACCTCGTACTGTGGCCTGAAATGAGAAGCCTGAATCCCTCAGCTCCTGAAGTGGCCCATTCCAAAGGTCATCAGCTTCGTGACCTTGCACATGGGTAAAGCCAGGACAAAGGATTACTCCACACCATCGCCGAGCACCTACTCACTTTTACGAAAGTCGGAGCGCCATAAGATAGACTCCATGTGCAGGATTGCAAGGAGAGACAAGAACTGCATGTCGAGGGTCTTGCCGGAATCTCCGGAATACACCGGCTACAAGAGACGAACGACTTCGGAAAATGAGGTGCAATGACGGTTCCTTCATTTGATATATGCCCAGCTCATATACTGTTTTCTTCATTTTCATTTTCAATTGATTACGGACAGAAATTGTAAAAGAGCCTGATGGGCAACATTGATCTCACATTGCTGCTCTGTATCCATATCTGGCCGGGCCACTGGCCCAAAACACCCCGCTGGCCAGTGCATTCCCCGGGCTCCTTTTCGACTGTCACGTTGAGGCACTCTTCATGCCTCCTGCGTAGTCCTCCCTTTTGAAGCCGGCAGAAAGGGAGAACTTTGGTTGTAAGAGGATGCGATTAGGAGTTAAGAAATCGAATGTTGATTCGTCTACTCCTCATCCTTGGAGTCCTTAGTAGGCTTCTTCTTCTTCTTGTTCTTATTGCCAGTGTTTCTGGCCAAAGGACGCTCCAGAATCTTCAGGATCTCCTCATCCTCGATCTTCTTGTCCGTCTGGAACTTGGACAGATCAGGAGGGTTAGGCGCGGCCAATCTGGTAATGCCGTTCTTCGTGATGGCTACAATCCTCGTTAGCGAAAGCGGGAATATTCCGTTGAACAAGTGATGAACATACCAATGGTCGTCAACAGACGGGAAACAGGAGCGTTATCGGCATCACCAGCGGGCTCGTACTGTCTCAAGACACCGCCACGGACACACTCCACAACACCGACCTTGGCAGACTTCTCGTCCTCCAGCTGTCGCAAACTGAAGGGGAATGTGCCAAACTTCTTGACGATCTCGGACAGAGTCTGTCTGGAGCTGGGTCTCTTAAGGATGTAGGTGGTAGTGGTACGGCGATGCAAGGTAGCGCGGTGAGGAAGGGTCTTGACCTTTCCGGAACCAAGGGAGAGACCAACTTCAACACCCCAGACTTCACCAACGTCGGGGACACCCTCACCCTTCACGCCAGAGCCGGGGGCAAGGATAATCTTCTTCCCACCTTCGATCTCGTTGCGCTCAAACAACCAGCTGGTGGTGTTCTCAACCACATTACAGTCATAAGCCTTGGCTACCTTTTCAATGAGGGCGGAGATCTGGCTCTGAGTAGGGGGCTTCTCGGCAGCGGCCTTTTTCTTCTCCTCCTCGGTACCGCTAGCCAGAAGACCTGGGGGCACCATGAGTCTCAGCAGAAGCTCGTTTGCGTAGTGGGTAGCGTGGATGAGGTCAGCCTCGCGACCAGTCACAACATCCTTGGGCGACTCCTTGTCGGCAACGACGACCATGTCGCAAACAATGGTACCAAATCCATCGATCTGAGCGCCGAGTTGGATCTTGACGATCTCGCCGGCCTTAAGGGTGGTCTCAGCCTCTTGAGCGTCCGACACCAGGGGGGTGTACGGCGTCACATAGGAGCTTGGGGACACAGTTGTCGGGTGGCCGATACCTTTTGTTGTCAAGCACAATATGTCAACACCGTACGCAGGTCTCGATGCGGGAAATCTGGCGATAATGGTGGTGACATACCCTTGGTGATCTTCTTGCCCTTGTAGACCTTGGTGAGCTCTTCCTCGAGGAGCTCATCGCCCTTCTGGCAGATTTCAACGATCTTGCTGCCCTCCAAGCACAATGCTGTAAACCGGTATTAGGCATCGAGCAATCTTCTGACACAATAACTTCGTCAGACACACCTGTAACGGCCTCAAGAACCTTGTGGGAAATCTGCGCGGCAGTCTTGTACTTGGTCAATGTGTCGGGGTTGTTGAGGGTGTAGTCTAGAATTGACCAGAAGCAATGCAACAGTCAGCTATTGCGGGTGAAAAAATACACGTAAATCCAGTAGGTCTTTAGGGACTCGGTATGGTGGTCACTATCGATTGCTAGAGCCATATAGCTGCTAGTTCGACCTACTCGACTCCATCCACTTTGCGCGACGATGAGGGTGGTGGTGCATCCACACAATCCTCGGAGCTCTGCAAAATGGGCGCAAAAGGAGGGGTCAAAATATCAGCGGTTAACACTTACCAACCTCTGGAGCCTGGTTCTCAGCCATTGTGAAGTATATGTTATGTCCTCGCACTGATGCGAAGGCTAGCGACAATCAAAGAAGTTCTTAAATAAAACACTCGTCTCAGTACACTATGGGAGTTGCAAGAAGAGGAGGAGAGGAATTGGGCTACTTTTGAGCTGGTAACTTTCAATTGAGTCGTGTGCACTGCGCATCGGTCATTACAGGCTGGCGGGGCTATTTCTGGATTTTCCCTTTCGTTGGTTACGTCGTTGAAGTAGGGCTTGTGGGCGGTGGACGATGCAGATTTGGCCTACTTGGGTTTAGTGTCGTCAAAATGGGGTAATTCTGTATGCACAGTACGGTAAACTATTCTTGTCACCTGAGGAAGCTGACAAGAGCTTGAGTAGCTTAGGTCCTTGCAATTCCAGAGACACTGATACCTACCTTAGCTATGGTAAGTAGGTGGCTCGATGAAGGCCATTACAAAGGAAATGCGATCATATACTGTGTGATTATTACCATGTTTTCGATCATTAACCTTGGAGTAACTGGCAATTGATGTGCATAGCATGATTGCACTTCTGATATATATACGTCATAGCTCATCAGGGTCAGCGCCAATATACGATCTTGCTTTTAATTTTTACAAGATCATCTTCCTATCTAGAGGCCTTCCCATGGTTTCACCATACAGCCAGCTCCTCTTGATGGACACCGTGGAGCTTTAGTCACAGACAATCCCGTACTCACAATAGTACTACTTTTGATAGGGAGCATTACATACCATACACCAGTAGAGTTTATCTGCTGATCTCGTCAGCGGGAAGAAGTAGAACAAGGCTTTCGATGGACTAATTAACCGGGTTGAAGTCGAGATGATCGTGTACAAGACGATAGTAAGCAAGACATAAGACGCATGATTTTGAAGGCATCGTGATGCGCGTCTAAATGCACAAACAATGCCTTGCGTGGAGGCATCCAAATGAGGAGCAATACAATTCCTTGGCCAATCATAGCCTCCTGTGTCAAGATTCTCCTCATCAGCTTCCATCCCACCCTCATCCAGTTTCGGATAATTCCTCTAACTGCATCTAGGGATCATCAGGGTGCAATTGTACAAGTCTACCGACACTGATTTGAGCCTTCCATCATGAAGACAACTACCGAACTTCCACTGCGTATACTAACACACAATATCCGCTATGCAACCAATTCCCCATTCAAGGGTGAGCTGCCCTGGGATGATCGCAAGCAGCCTCTCTTAAATGAACTGCTCTTCAATACGCGCAATCAGGATGCATTTATCTGCCTACAAGAAGTGCTCCATAATCAACTGGTCGATGTTCTATCCGGACTGAACCAACATTCTTCTACTGTTTCCAAAGGCGCCTCTGAGACACAACAATGGGAATACAACGGAGTCGGTCGAGACGACGGTCACAAAGCAGGAGAATACTCGCCCATATTCTATCAACCGTCTGTTTGGCAGCTTCGTCATTGGGAAAGTGTCTGGTTGTCGGAAACGCCGAACAAACCATCCAAGGGCTGGGATGCGGCGTCTATACGGATTCTGGTAAGACGCTAGGCGTGTGACGAAAGCCTCTTCATTAAGCTGACGCCATACTAGACCATCGGTGTCTTCACGCACAACATAACTCGCCATACCGTCCTTGCGATGAATACTCATTTAGACGACCAGGGATCTCGGTCACGCTTCGAGGCTGCCAAAATCATTCTTCAGAAGATCGATGAGTACCGAAGCGGCGAATTTGGGACCTCCATCGCAGGGGTACTCCTTGCAGGTGATTTTAACAGTCAAGAGACGCAAGAGGCCTATAGCGTCTTGACAGGGTCGGAATCCTCCTTGGTCGACACAGCAAAGGCTGTGGAACCTAGCCAGCACTACGGCGATTATTATACGTGGACAGGGTTCGGATATGAGGGAGAGGATCCCACGCGCATTGATTATATCCTGATGGGACCTGGGAAGAACAAACTTGGGTCCTGGAAGGTCAACGGATACGCCGTGTTAGCGAACCGATTCGATTCTGGCGTGTATCTATCAGATCACAGGGCCGTTGTCGCCGACGTCACCTTGTACGACTGAGCTGGATCCGCTTGCCTTGCGCTTTTCAAGGGCTGGAAATGGAAGTCACCGAGAAGTTCTGAGATCTGCAGGCACTGGACATGGTCCAATGGTGATATCGTTCCGCGATTAAGCTTTGCTCATGCCATGGACATAAGCTTTTGTGTATTTAGCCAGAACATGTAATGTCCATGGTCTGCATGGGCATCCATGGACGGGTAGATCGCGTTCAAGATCCTGGATTGATGCTTGTGATTCTCACAGTAACTTTGGTGGAAGCGAATTGATACTGAGAATGAGATACCCATAGAAGACACTAAGCGTATCATGTTGAGCATAGTCTTATGGTGGCTAACCTTTAATGGTATGGTATAATCACATGATCGCTGCAAATAGCCTAGTATGTGGGGCAGTATTATTACCATACATGACCGCAAGTATGTAAGGCAGTTTTTCAAGATCCATACTGTAACATTTGTAACTAACTTCGTGATATCCCAAGAGAAAAGGACTAGAATGATGCGTGATAGCTTCAGGATGTTCCCAAATAGGTTCTACAAAAGTTTCTCTCGTAGAGCAGTCTCTACCATTGCTGCTTGCTGGTGCCCGGAAGCTCCTCCCCCTACCCTCTCTGGCCCTCCATGACGGGAACGGACAACCTGTAACGCCCTTTCTGCCCGCCCAGTTTTCTGCAGGCTTTTTCCTCTGGCCTCTCGTGTCTGTTCTTTCTTCTCCTCTTTTCCTCCCCCTATTTCCCCGTCATAGCGCGAAACAGAGGACTCAGAGAACAGCCGGCGAGAAGAAAGAACCCCACGCAAGGAGAAACGAATCAGTCGACCGACTTTCCGGGCCAGTGTAAGCAGAACAAACAAACCAGATTGCTGAGATTCATCGATACTTGCCCGTTCCTCGGTGCGCCATCAGCTGATTAGCCGCCTTCTTCCGAGCGCTGATTATTCTCACTTTCTTGCGGCAAAGCGCAAGACCCAGAACCGGCACGCAGACCCATCCATTGCCTCGTCCTGCCCTGGAACCCTCTGTCCGGCGTGTTTACGCCTGGTGGTAGCTTCGTGTCATTATTTTACTTTTGTTCTAATAATCCTCTAATTTACCTCTTTGGAGTTCCTTGGTATGTTTTTCCCTAACCCCAGTATTTGCGCGCTGGCTTCCCTCCTCCGCTTTCGCGACCATTTTTCGACCGTCTAGTCATCACCCATTGATTACGTGGGTGACGGCTCTGATTGTGGCGATTCTTGGCTTTCTCGGGACATGTGGCTGTTTCTGTTCAATGGGGCGCATCGCGTCTCCGTTCAATGCACCGTCGCGTCTTGAATAGCCTCACGCTCGTGTATTCTGCCTGAAATGCCCATATTGACTCGCCCTTTTCTATTGCAGGTTCCCTCTAAGGATGCTGTTGTAGGCCACGTTGGTTCTTGGGTTGCCGCCATCGTCTTTCGGTGTCTGATTGGAATGTTACCTCGTCTTGCGATTGATACCCGTGTTTCCTGCTTTTGTACGAAGAACTGCAGCTATTAGACGAAATCTCCGGCCATGCCTCTCCCCGATCATTCGCAGCCTGGACAATTTCTTGGCGACTTCCAGGCTGATGGAGTCCATAATGACCTGAGCGCGCCAGGCCCCAGCGCGGGGAGCGAAGGAAACAGTGCGACCGGCTCCTCAACAGGACAAGGAGCAAATGGGGTAGATGCCATCGCCGAAGGGAAACAGAATGCGAAAGCTGTACTTGCAGCTTCGGGTGTCTCTCTACCCTCAGCGGAAGCTAGTCATAGCGCCTTGAACGGCAAGACGTCGCCCAATTCTCAGTTGAGCAACGCCAACGGTTCAGCAACAAGTAGAAAGCGATCTCGCGACGGTTCTGTTATTCGCACTTCTTCTACAGAAGACTTACCCGTCCGTGTACGTGAAACTCCGGCGGATAAAATACTTCTCGAACAGTATGTCGAACGAGAATTCCGCCATTCAGCATTGACAGCATGGCACAATCCCAGTCAGGAGTTGCTTCAACAAAAGCGCGCAGAGCGAGACTACTATCTGGCCTTACGCCGCGATACCCATGGGAATCCGGCCGCCCTATACGGCGTTGGGTATGAAGGATTTGGAAATGCCAGGACTGATCTGCGCAATCAGCATCCGCAATTATTATACCCCTCTCATCGGCGGCGACCGGGAAATAGAAAGACCAGGGAGTTGCGAGTTGCGCGGAAGGACATGAAAATACAGAGTGAGCAAGTGGAGGATCTGGTCCCTATTCGCTTAGACATCGACTGGGAGAAAATCAAGATTCGAGATACCTTTACGTGGAACCTCCACGACCGAGTCGTTTCTCCCGATCTGTTCGCCGAGAAATTGGTGGAAGATCTGGGCCTTCCGCTCGACACATGCACTCCTCTCGTACGGATGATCTCTCGGAGCATCCAAGAGCAACTCGCGGATTATTATCCCCAAATATATATGGAAGAGGATGCGCTCGATCCCAATCTACCCTACAGCGCTTATAAGAACGATGAAATGCGCATTCTTATCAAGCTGAACATTACCATCGGACAACATACCCTCATTGATCAGTTTGAATGGGACATCAATGATCCCTTTAACTGCCCCGAGGAATTTGCTGCCCGTATGACCAATGACCTCTCTCTCTCCGGCGAATTCACGACTGCAATCGCGCATTCGATACGTGAGCAGTCGCAACTCTTTACCAAATCACTTTACATCCTCTCCCATCCGTTTGATGGGCGTCCAATTGACGATCCTGACCTCAAGGCTGCATTCTTACCCTCCCCATTAACATCTTCTTTCCGACCCTTCCAAGCTGCCAAGGAATTCACGCCATATCTATACGAGCTGAATGAAGCGGAGCTCGAGCGCACTGAAGTGTCCATATCCAGAGACCAACGTCGGCAGAAACGCTCCGTCAACCGCCGCGGTGGCCCGGCTCTGCCAGATTTGAAAGATCGTCAACGCACCATTCGTACAATGCTTGTATCCTCCGTCATACCCAATACTGCAGCGTCAATTGAAGAGAGCAATGTGTTCAAGCGGTCCGGATTGAGTCGGCACAGACGCGCCGCAGTTGGCCAGCGGGACGGTGGTGAGGAGTCCGACGAATCGGATAGCGACGAGTCATCGATGACGGGCTCTCCTGCTATCGGTCCTCATCTGGCCCAAGGAACAGCCCGCACAAGAGGCATGAGAGGAGCCGCAAGCGCAGCTCATGCCGCTCTTCGGGCGAGTCTGGCTCATTCTGCCACCCCTGAACCTCATCACGAGCCTCGGGTCTCCGCCAGAAGACGAGATTACCGGGAAGAGAGCATAGAAGAGCAAGAGAAGCTCATTGTGAAATTAAAGATCTCGAGAGAGAAATTTCGCCAATTCCTCGCCAACAGGCCACAATCTTTACCTAACGCTTCGGTTTCTACCTCTACGCCAGCCGCCCAACCAGTATCTCAGACCGGCACACCTCAATTACGGACACCAACGCCGAGTAGCATGGCCCCGCCATCGCATCCTAAACCCCAAGTTCAAGTACCGAATACTGCTGGACATCTTCCTCAGCGGCCTGTACAACAGCTTGGGGCTGTTGATGCTACACATCCCCCTCAACCAGGCGTTCCCGGGGTAGGTACCTCCTTTCTTCTTACCCTTTTGTACTCCGTTTCTTTTCTGGCTCTGTCCAGATCTCCACGTCTACAGTTGATTGCGTTGCTGACATCAGTATTGCTAGCCTCCTCCTCCAGCCTGGCTATCGGCAGGTCTTGCCCGTTTGAACCGGTCACATCCAAACGACTCGTTTGAAGGTGTGATGCGCTACACGGCAGTCGACACGGAGACGATGTTACCAGTCGCAAACGCAAATAGCCAGCCGGGCCACCGATTGAAGTACCAGTATCTTCCTCGGATTCGCTGTCACGATTGTCCGGGTAAGTTGTATACTCCCGGTCCGGGAATGACGGTCGACAACTTTGAGGTTCATTTGAGAAATCGACAACATAAGGAGCGCGTAGAGGAGAGGCTCGCAAAGGCAGCTGCTAACGGCGGCTCCTCATAACGAGTACATGACCAAGTGGTGATTTTACCTTTCGCATCAATGTATACTTTGTCCTTTCTTGTGCAGTCTTCGGGACCCTTTGTTGTTTGGTGTACATGTCTTTGAGCGAATGATAAAGGGTAATCAACATCTATACTCTTTGATTGCATGACTCTATATTTAACGGGCTGTATGCTTGGTGTATCTGTTGACTATCTTTCTGTGTGGGTTTTGGGAAAGTCACGAATCCGGAGACCTAGGGAATCTCACAGCTATAGCATCCTGGTTTCATGATATTCAGAAGTCCAGCATGCGTACCACGACATGCACGTAATTTGCAACAATGGCCAAATCCCTTGATGTGACTTGTATGTTCATTGCCAATAGTGTGTGGATGTCAGATTCGACCCTTGGGTCCTGGATCGTATGTATGGGCATTGACAAACATGAATTTCCTTCCTCCTTCTGCTGCGTCGAATACGGTGTGGCCACATATATTTGATGGATGGACTTACCACAACGCACATGACGTCCAGTCACACCTCACCGGTGTATATACATATCGAGACTAGGGGAGTCATGGCCTGAGGAATCACACACAGGAACCCTGCCATTTATACCCACAGACGCCATCCTTGCTTATATCCATAAAGGCTGGCACTTAATACTATACCAATATATACAGCCAGCATATAGTTGACGTATAAAGCAAGGGCCAGCATCACGAGAAATAGGAGCCGTGTCTGCAATTGTTTCTAGGCGCCGGATCGAGACTAGAGAAGTGCCTTGGTATATAAATATCTTAAGCGAAACTTTAATCCCGTCCTGGCATCTATGGCTCAGTGGTAGAGCGTTCCACTCGTAATGGAAAGGTCCATGGTTCAATCCCGTGTAGATGCAGTGATTGTCTTTTTTCCTGGCCCATCCTATATTTTCTTTTGCAGGAAGATATTTTCCCAGTTTCTTTTCCCTAGTAAATATGACAAATATTATGCTGCCATACAGCCTAGCAAGTGAGCCTCTTTATTAAGAGGAAGGAGTTTACTAAGCACATATCTTAACTACTTTAATACCAGAATCTTAAGAATATAGTAGATATGCAGGCAGTGAGAAGAGATATGAGGATTATTAAGAAGGTCTGATTATGGAGATGGCTGGTCGCAAGCCAAACTGTCCATGATTGTTGTGTAATGGTTTTGCTATTAGCACGGCTGTCATCTGTGAAGTGATAACATACTATTATTATGTGTATGTATCAAATCGAGCTACATACAAGTGTATATGTTAGATATATCATTTTTCTCCGCGAAGGATTTGTCGGCATGACCGTCCTTTCCAACCTTCAGCCCCATGCGAAATCGAAATGGATAGCTCAAGTCCTACTTGGACCTATTTTCTGCTAACACACGTTGGTATTGCTGGGACAATACCTGGAAAAGGTAATGATATTTGAGCGGCTTAATTACAAGCGATCGTGCCCATCAACCCTGCTAAGTCTCCCCATAGCCAACGACAGTCAACGTTTCCTTACCGCTGTCTGCAATACTCGCCTCCCTCCTCAATCAATGTGCGAAGATATCGGGGCATCCATTGGGCAAACCCTCCGACCTTTTCATATGAGCAACGCCCTGGAGTTGGACATACTCCTGCGTCACATCCTTGCTCGAATTCTCTCCAGTGACGTGGAAATAGTTGATTCCAAACCCGTTGTCATCGAAGAACCTGGCCGTACCCGCAACAACGTAGATGGTGAACGACTTGTCGGAAGCATAAATGTTTTTGGTCTCATGACGATGACCAACAAGGATATGATGCACATTATACTGCTTGATCAGACTGAGGTACCTGCCACGCACGCGGTTGGGAAAGGTCCAGTATGCGTCAGCCTCGTCCTCAGTGAATTCAAACGGGAGATGATGATGCGCGACAATGATCTCTTCCTTTGCATGATGGGCGGCTTCGAGCTGATTCTCAAACCAAGCCCACTCTGCAGCGGTGTAGCTCTCAAACTCGGTGAGATTGCTAATCAAGGTGACTGAGTCTAGGAGCACGAAGCGATATCCCTGGTGGCTGAAGGAGCTGTGGTCGCTGACATTGTAGTCCCGGGTGAATTGCTCGAGGGTCGCAACATTGCTGATATCGTGATTCCCGGGGAGAAGATGGACGGGCTTCTTGAATTGGAGGAGTGTGTTCTGGAAAGCCTGGACCTGGTAGTCGTGTCTGCAAGTCGCTTTAGCCTAGATTCTGGGAGGACCACCTCACTGTTATGCGTCTGGAAGGGTAGAAAACTGACCTGTCATGGGTCAAATCACCCACGGCAATGCAAAAGTCGAAATCCTCCGTGTTGACTTGCTGGGCAGCCAAACCCATACGGTAAGTATCATTTTGCCATCCATCAAGTCCAAACCCAATCTCGAGATCGCCGAGTTGGCAGAAACGGAAGGGCTTGTTGAAACCAGCAGAAACTTTTCATATGTCAGCTTTGTACAATGGGAGGAACTGAATTGTATAGATGATGTCGATACACACCAGAAGGTGCACAAAGCACAAGACCGCCGAGGCGACAAATGATCTTTGCATTTTGAGTCAGCAATTGGGCGTGTCTTATCCAGTCTATCCCTGATAAAAGAAAGGATTACCGAAGAAAGACGACCGTTACGACTCTACTTATACATTGGGAGAGGTAGTGCAGTCCTGCGAATAAAGATACTCGCCTACAGTGCGTGATCTTATTTCCTGGAAATCTCCCAACAATTCCCAGGAACATCTTCTTAACTCTACTTACAGGTATACAATGGCGTACCAACAGGTTGGCTCTGGCGGTGCACGTGGAGAGGACGGACCGGCACTTAACATCAGGATGTGGATCTTGTGGGATTTTGGAGTACGTAGAACTTGGAAGTTCCTTGATAGGGCGTGCTGAGCTCTAGTTTGGCGAATAGACCACAGCTTGTTCTGAAAACCCTGACTTGTCATTTATGCTCTCCATTTCGGCATTCAGGTTTTAGCAAGCTTTACGCCAGACATTCGGTATAATGCCGAAAGACTATTGATTCGCCGGCAGTTAGAACCAAACTAGGGAGGCCATATCATCTGAGTTCCAAATTACATGGACAACCATATCAGGCACAGCAATCACACCTGCATTTAGACACCCTTCTGAAGGATAGTGCGCGTTCAGGACGAATTCTCTAATAGAGTGACTAAAACCTAGTAGCCACCTTACCTGCAACTGAATTGGACAGGCAAGCTGCGGCCTGGAGTCAATGGGTTAAGATGAGGATGTTCGTCTTTTGCACAGGCCCTCCAAAGCAATGTGGAGTGACAGTTGAGACATAAGTTAATCGCGTATACGTGTTTCTCATTTAATGCGTCTTGCCCACAGTGACAACCCATGGTTCCAACATTAAACGCAGAAAAGGAGCTATGGGATAGCACTTCTAAAGGAACTATACATTCAGTCACCACCACGCGGCGGCAACAAAACCTACACCGGCTTCAGGCATAACTCATTGATTATGATGGTCAGGCTAGATTTAGGGTCACTCACTGTACTTGAACCACCTTGGCGAGCTTGATGAAGAAAGAGATGAACTAATGCAGAATGAAAGGCTCCAGATTGGAGAGGAGCTGTATGGGCTGTTTAAAGATGATGCAGCGTTCAGGCGTCATAAGGCTGGACTTCGCATGCTGCCAAGGACAGCGGAAACGGTCGAGAAATATCTGAGTGTATGTGACTTATGGGATAAGTCCACGGGTGCACGTCTGACAACATCCATGGTTGATTGATCGTCAGAACTTGCAATCAGTACGTCATGAATTTCATAACTCTTGACCACAGATGGCAGCGCTGGAGTACTCTGGTCTACTCTCTCAGTCTCCTCGTCTTTACATGGCGGCTGTATCCAAAATCAAGGCCCAGTCTCCGCCCAAAGACTCAAAGATGTCGCCATGGCGAAAGATTGCCAAATGGAAGAAACTGCCAGAATACCCCGCCATACTTCGCTTGGATGAGCGCACCTTCCAGAAGATCTACCAACACCTCTCACTAGTCGATCAAGTGTGTCTATCCCTCAGCTGCAAAGAGCTCTTTTACCTATTCAGGAGCACGATAGTACAGCATAAAGACCTCAAATTTCCACGGCTCTTGCGTATCAGGAATCCAATCCTGTGCGTGAACAGTCGGGATGTGCCACGAAACCAACTTCTTCGACTTGAAAACCACCATTGGGCCTACTGTGCACAGTGTCTAAAACTCCATCCCCGGAAAGAATTTCCAAGATATTTACTAAGACGATCTGCGCTGGAGAGATCCTGCACTTACTACGCTGGTATAGCTGACCTATGTCCCTGTATCTCTCTGACAGTTCGAGGTCGAGACCAGCTTATTAAGATCCTCAAACCACCCGCGAAGCCAAAAACCCAATATGGCCTATTCAGGTATGATGTTAGCAATGGAGGACATCCCCGTCTTGGCCACTGCTGTTCATATAGCACTAGGACTGGCTACATTGTGCGAGTTGCTCTCGTTTTATATATTAGGGCTGGCCAGTTGTGTCTAGCAGGTCAACATACTATAAGCTTCTATTCCTCAAATGCTCATCTGACAGCTGAGCCTACCTTTGCTTGTCCTCATCAAGATCTCCTATCTCTTGTCCCTGAGAATCAAGCCGCAAATGATCTTCAGATGTACCAGACTTTGAATTCTTCAAAACCCCATCAAGATCTTCTGTCTCTTATCCCTGAAAAGCTGGTAAAAGCCTGTCCCAGGTGTCTGACTTTGATTACGAAAGAAACTTTGCCTGAAGAGTCTGAAAAGATGAAACAGTCTGTTTTCTGGGTGGCGCGAAATCTAGGAAGCTGTGAATGGCCAGCAGACCGTCCTTGGCTTGAGCAGTGTCGTCTCACTGGAGCACGGTTTTTGCTTAATGAAAGTTACTGGTGAGCTTATTAAAGGATCTACAGAGAAAGAATTACTGAAATTCTCCTATAGGCATCGGTCGCAGAACTTGCTGATGATGATGCAAGGTGTTCACAGTCAGTGGAAAAGAGATTACTACATAGAACAGGAAAGAAGATTGCTTCGACATCGACATCGACATCAATGCATAGCCTCATGAGCTGCTGATAAGGGAGTCCAGATAGCTAGTACCATCCCAGTGCTACTTCTTACAGCGTTGTGTTGTTGAAGGAACGAGAAAAGAGGAAGACTGACTGAATAATTGTTGCTAAATCAATGAGACTACATGTCAAGCTCCAGCATTTCGCATCCAGCATAGAAAGCGGCGACACTATGTACGTGAATTGATCCTGTCACCCTGATAATTAAAGCCCTCACGCCTGCTTAGTTCGCCCACCTCCCGGTGTTCCCGCCAGAATCGAGTCGTACGGCTTCGGCAGGCCCACGTAGAGAAAAAAAATAGGCGAAAACCGAAGGGTAGTGAATGGTGGCAGGTTGACACTGAGCCCATACATTCATATGTCATCAACACAAGGAAGGCCATGATTAAAACCCAACCCACGAGATCAATACCTCAACGGAAAGACACAGAGACGCTCTTTGCTAGGAACTATGCGCTAGACCTGTTTTCCAAAAGGCACCGTTTCCCATCCCTCGGTTGTATGAGTCGGAAGCTTCGAACACCACATGAATTGCTCCTGCCTAACATACTGCTGGTTGTAACGCTCATAGACTCTGCCTTGCCTGTTTCGATCTGCATCACCGTAAAAGTTCTTTTCAATATCGGCCTTCACAGCGGGCATGGCTGTGTTATTGTACCAAGTGGTTTGTGCCGTGTGGTCTTGCTTCCGCACCGGAGTGTAAACAGCAGAGTGGTATGTGTTGTCTGTACCGCTTTGTCCGGCCGTGTCTGTCCAAGGGCACATGTATGTGTATCGATAGTAGAAGTAGCCACCGGGTTTGTGAGACATATTGGCTTTGATTGTATGTTGGAAGGTTATATGAGAGGTGATGATTTGGAGAGTGGTTATCACAAGATGCGGTAGCAAGAAGGCAAGCCGGGGGATTTTGTTAAGATATAGAGGCTTAGCTGCCATTTGGCGCCTGAACATCTCTCATATATGCAACTAGCCAGGTGTCATGTCATGCACTGTGCCATCAATCAGGTGTTTAGTATCCAAGACTCTAGGTAGGCTGTGAAATGGCTGTGCTTTAGTCCACGTTCAAATAGCCTATACAAGCAGCAAACAAATAATACAGCTCAGCATCCACCACTGGCACCACACCCACAGAGAATGCTAGCCCGTAGTCCTGACTACGCGCGGCTGCGTTTGGGCCCTTAATTCTAGTCATGGAGCTGTTTCTCTCCCTGGCTGTGCAAGGCTAGCCAGTTGATGTGGTTCTTTGGACTAGGGTGCCTTGCAAATGCGGAAAGGGACATGAAGGCTGGGTATGTACTGGAACCACGTTTGTCGATTAGCAAGGATGATAAATCACAAGATGAGGATAATGCTCCTCAGCCTCACAGAGATGATAACAGCAATCTCTGGGGCTAAGAGATGGCGCTAATAGCGGCAGATTCCAAACGCAAACAAAGAAAAGCACCGTCTGATTTGCATGAGAACTTGAGAGACTCGCATCGAAGTTGGGGTTCTCGGACTCAAAAGCTATCGCAGTTGTAGACTGCACACTCCACACTCCACATTCAGTCCCACCGAGCCAGTGGATTAAGGGATCGAATGAAGCTGACGAGATATCTGATCATCGGCGTCTCTGCGTTGCTGTCTCAAACTTAGAAATGCATATTCGTCATGTGGAGATCCTCTTGGGGAAATGTCCATCTTCTTTTTGTTCCATAAACTCAGCGTTCCATGGAAGCCTTTGTCCTGAGGCTGGGAGACTCCAGAGGCCGGAAGTGCCCAGAAGGAATACAATACGACCAGCCTGTAAGAATGGTGTCTGTATCATCGATGAATGAATAATCACATCTTATATTCCGCCTCAAGTACATCACATCAATATTTTAGCAACTGCATCAGATAAAGGCAAGATAAATTGGCAATGAAAATGGGTATACACATTTCGATGCAACTCCAGTGTAAAGGAAATGCAACAAAGAAAGGTAATAAGACGGCTCATTCTTAGTCAAGCATCAAGTGCACGTTGGCCACAGTCATTCCATCAAGGAATGATGAGAAAGAAAAGAAAAGACAGGTCGCAAATCACCAGAGTCATATACATCTCGACGCGAAGAAGGGATACCGAATCCATCCACTCCGACTTCCACTCATACGTTGACTGTCGAACAATTTTTAGCCCCTTCGAGAGGATCTTCTCGTTGGCAACGTAGCCGTCTTATCACTGCGTCTGTTCTTAGCCTCGGGCTTTTCTTTTTCTGTCTTCGCGACGGCTGTCTCTGAGGGATCCTCTGGATCCTCTAGTTCTTCCGCTTCACTCAACTGCTCTTCGTTATCTGATTCATCGTCGACTTTCTCTTCGGCGGCGTCGCTGCCATTCTCGCTTTCTGCGTCATCTTCGTTATCCTCTTGCTCGTCGTTCTCTTGTCCCCATTCATCCACTTCCATGTCATCCTCATCGCTGTCTTTGTCCACATAACTGACCCTCTTCGATGTTCCGCGGCTGCTGCGTCTCCGAGCAGATGTTGTCACTTCTGCAGGGGCACCCTCCTCTTCAGAAGACCACCCGTCCTCACCCTTCTTCTTTTTCTTGGGTGTTTTTGAGGTTGTACCAGCAGAGGATCTGCGGGGTCGTGAAGTCTTATCTTTCTCCTTTCTTGCTTTCTTGGCCGAGCCATTGTTACCGTTCGTATCGGCCGCCTCTGGTTTTCTCTTCTTGACTTGCGCGTTACTCGATGATCCGTTCTTTGCTTTCATGACAGACCGAACAAGACGATCGAGAAGGTCTTCGGCGTCTTCAGGAAGGAAGTTCTTTTCAGCCACCTCCTGGGCTTCTTCGTGGCTGTTCATCCGAGCAAAGATCGAGCTTGGCACTCCGACCTTGCCAGGGTAGGTCTGGAGAATGCTGGCAGCGCCAGCGCCCCCGCCAAATCTGCGCTGCTGGGAGTAGATGTCCGCAAAGCGACGAATTGTTGCTTGTGCCAAGTCCGAAAGCGTGTGGAGACGCGTGCTGATTTCGTCTGATTTGGTAATGCCATCCCGCGTTTGCTTTACGCGCTGTGCGACATGGAATATCAACGACAAGTTGTGCTCATTCGCAACGGCCGTGAGATAAAAGAGGATATAGCGCGCAAAATCAGTCAGGTCGCGAACCTGCGTCGCTTCGTCCAGGTCGGCAGACGGGTAATCTGGGTGGTATGCGAGGAGAGAGAGAAGACGAGAAAAGATCGACTCCATGACAGTCTCCTTCTGGCCACTGCTCTGAACCTGCTGTGAGAAGAATGCCGCACGAGACCGCAGCCAGGTCAGGGTGCTGTCCTTCAAGCTAACATTCGGCTCGAACGCAAGGAGGCAGGGAACAATGTACCAGCGGTAGCTCAGATGTGACCTTTGCACAAGTCTCTTCTTGAGCTGGGAAATGAAGCCGCTTCTCACGGCTAAGATGGGATCCTGAGCCACTAGGGCGATGGAATTGAAGTCCAGCGGTGTAAACAGTTGGTCGCATAGACTGATTGTTGCGCACAGCTTGACAAGCGACTTGGCGGCCAAGAGGCGAAGGCGTGATTTCTGTGTGGCTGGTGTGTCCTTCTTCTTCGACAACTCGCCCTCGTTCGCCACGAGTTTATTCAATGTCTCGAATACAGGTACGGCGTGGGCACGGAAATCGTCGTCGCCGTCCGACCCTTTTTTGGCTCGAAGCCGATTGACAATGATCTTGAGAGCCCATTCCTTAGCAGCGGTTTCATCGTCCACAGTATCTGACCAGGAGTAACCGGCATCAGGCTCAGGGGAACGATTTGTTAAGAGAATCTGGTTTACAGCGATCGAGATGATGGCGTCACTTTCTTCATCCGCTTCTGATGGAGCCAGGAGATTCAGCTGAGACAATGTTGCCAGTTTAGTCAGAAAACGATCGGATCCGTATTTCCACTTCGAAACGCATGCTTGGATCAAATCCTTCGCGTACATTTCTTTTTTATCAGCGACCGCCATGAGGATTGAAACGGCATGTTTGGCGGCTCGAGGGGATGGGCTATGAAGAGCATAACTTCTAAGAGCCTGTAGGAATTTGCGCTCTTTGGGGAGTTTATCGGCAAGTTTTCGTGCGAACCCGGAGCAGGCCTTGAGGATCTCTTCGGTCCCGCCGGCAGTGGTAGTTGTCGCCTTGGGAGCTTGCGACTCAAGGTCTTTGCACATTTCTTGAACTTGAGCTTCCAACACTTCTGGGTTCTTAGACGAAATCTCCCGTAGAATCTCGTGTGCCGGGTTGGCGAGACCATGCTCGTCTGTCCGAGAGAGTTCCATGATCGCCGGCGTATGACTTCGGTTAAATATCAGAGAACTGCTGCGGTACAGCAATGGAGTGAACGTCTCGAGCAGTGAAGAATTGTTGGAACTCTGAATGCGTCTCGCCAGCTCTCTGATGGCCTTGACGACAGTGCGATAATCGCTGGTAACATTCATCGCAAAGCGAATAAGCTGGTAGTTACGACGATCGTGAACCTTGGCGAACTTCCACAGATCTGCAGATGCTCGCGACGAGTCTGGGAAGGTTTTGGAGAGCGAATCGATAACTCGAGATAGTTTAGTCTTGATTTGATCCTCATTCTTCTCCACTACTCCTCCCTACATTCGCCATTAGCGTCTCGACCAACTATGAATTCTTTCATCACTTACATTGTACTCCTCGCACGCCTTCAGGTAGAAGTCCACAAAGTTTCTGACAGAGATTTGCCGACCTTGCATCGCGTAGAAGACCTTTTTGGCCTTGTCATCTAGCCCCGCGAGTAGAGTGAGAATGCGACGAACACGTATCTTGTCGATATCGGCATCGCTATCGGCCTCGGCACTTTGTGATTCTTTCTGTTTCTGGGATTGACTGGAACCGCTCCGCGATAGTTTGGGCTTGATCGGAGGATAATTGAGGGGAAGGAGAATTTCGAAGAGCACACGATCAATTAAGATATGGATCTCGGGATCATTGGTATAGTAAGCATCGAAGATCTTTGACGGCCCATCCTTGAGTAGCGAGACCACCTGTTCGTTCCCTTGCTCGACGTCGCCCGCTGCAACGGCCCAGATTCGCGCCAACGTCTTCGTCGCATGCTCTCGTACCTGAGACTTCCGATCTTTGACTCGCTCTGCAAGGACGGCAAGCAACGAATCCGAGGTCGAGAAGCCGCCACCCAATCCGAGTTTGTTCACAACATCTGATAGACCGAACATTCCGACCGCATCAACTGCCGCCAGTCTGACTTTCTCATCTGCGTCCCGAAGCATTGATGACAAATTCTCGATGAGAGTCTGCTGCTCGTGCTCACTGAGACCAGAGCCACCTGCAGATGTCAGTAGAATGCGGCCTATGACAGTGACCCAGGCAGCTCTAACGGAAGCGGATTTGTCAAAGCGCCGGCTGAGAAAGCTTTCATATGTGGAGCTGTGTGCCTGCGAGAATGGCTTCGGGGACAAAGGCTTGACAAGCACGTTGGGCTGAGGGATCATCTGCGCATACTCTGCCAAGGTTACCGGTGGGTAACCTGCAGGATCCATCGGCGGAGGTGGAGGTGGGCCGGCAACTCCAATACCAGCAGTGAGATCACCTATCGTCTGTGTAGCCAGCAGACGTAATGATACTGATTCAGCGGACAATTCGGCCTCTAGTTGGGGAACCACATTCTGCAGCACATCGGGGCAGGCCCGCCAGAGCTCCCGGATAAGACGGTGAGCTTTACTCAACTCCTTGACATCCTCACCCTCTTCGTCGGAATCATCAAGGTTCGGTTTGCGATGATGTTTCGAGGACCCGTTTGTGCCCCCAGAGCCAGAAGCGTCAA